ATTTGCTTAGTAATTAATTGGTCTTCTACCTTTACTGTGGGTTTATTTTCTCTGGTGACAGCTATTAAGCCTTAGGAGCATTTCCATCTAGAGTAGTCCATTTAAGAGATCGTGTAGAAATGGTTTGGTGGTAGTGAAGACCCTCGACTTTTGCCTATCTGGAAATTGTTTAATCCCTGCTTCAAATTTAAATGATAATCTTCCTGAGTGGAGTATTCTTGGTTGAGGCAACTTCTGTTTTATTGCATTAAATATATCATACCATTCCCATCTGGCCTATAAGGTTTCTGCTGAGAAGTCTGTTGAAATCCTCATGGAGTTTCCTTTATAAGTGATATTTTCTTTCTCTCTGGCTGCTTTCAGTACTCTCTCCTTCTCCTTGATCTTTGCCATTTTTATTATTATATGTCTTGCTGTTGTCTTCCTAGGGTTCCTTTTGTTGGGAGATCTCTGCATTTCCATGACCTGAGTGACTATTTCCTTCCCCAGATTGGGGAAGTTTTCAACAATTATTCCTCAAATACACTTTCTATCCCTTTGTCTGTCTTCTTCTTCAGATACCCCTATAATGCGAATATTGTTCCATTTGGATTGGTTGCACAGCTCTCTTAGTATTTCATTTCTAGAAGTCCTTTTTTTCTTTCTGTTTTCCGCTTGTTTTCCTGTTCTCTAATTTTGATTTCATTTACTGCCTCCTCTACTTCATCTAATCTACTTTTAAATGCTTCTATTTTATGTTTCCTTTCAGGTACTGTTTTTTTCTAATTTTCTATCTCTTTGTTGAAGTCTTCCCTGAGATCTTGAACATTTTTCAGTAGCTCCATGAGCATGATTATGACTTTAATTTGAAATCTTTATCAAGGAGATTGATGATTTCCATCTCACTAAGCCCTTTCTCTGGCTTTTTTTTGTGAATTTTTGTTTGGACCCAATTCCTCTGTCTCTTCTTTTTTTTTTTTTTAGTGTTTCCTATGGGATAAAAGATTTGCTTAGGAGGTGCTCTCTAGTGCCTAGAGGTCCGTTTCCTCAGTGGAAGTCCCAGTGGGTTGTGTGAAGTGGGTGTGTGCAATGGTTCTGCCTTGTTCATGGTGTTCTGATTTCAGGTAGGCTGTGTGGGCTTTCAACTGATCACTGAAGTGGGGACACTACTCTCTGGATCTTCTGTCTGGGCCTGCTGCAATGGTGCAGGCACAGGTGAGTGGGACCAGTGCCTACCAGGAGGAAAGAGCTCCTAGGGCTGGTTCCTACATGTAGTTCCCAGCTGGTCCAAAATAGGGTTGAGCAGGCTGTGGGTTCTCCCACTGCCTACCTGGACGTAATGTTTGATTTCACTGTCAGCTGACAGGCCATTTGTCACTGCGAGGAGACTCTTGGCTGTTGCCTTTGAGGGGAATGGAGTGTCTGAAGCTCCTGAGGGCTCCCAACCTGATGGGCTTAAGGTGGTCTGGGAAGGTATTTTCCACCTGACCTTTCTCCTTAATAGAGTCGTCTGCAATCCTTGCCCCTCCAGCACCCTTCTCACTGCTAGGAAGGCTTTCACACTGTCCCTTGTGCTTTCTTTCTCAGAGGGTCTGGTAGATCATGCTTGTTCTCAATGTGCAGCTGGGATCTCAGCCTCCCCAAGTGTTCCGCCCATCTCTGTTGTCCAGCCCACCACTCACCAGGGCACCATGCATTGTGGGCTTGTGTTCCCAGAGCAGATTTCCAGGACCAAGTGTTCAGGGTCCTGGGCTTCTACTACCTCCCAGCGCTGTTCTTCTTCCTCCTGCCTGTGGGCTGGGGTAGGGGGAGGTCTTGAATCCCACTGGATCATGGCTTTGTGACTTTATCCTTTTCTGTAGGGTCTTCTCTTCTTCCCCAGATGTAGGTGGTTAGTTCTGCAGTCTTCAGATTGATTTCAGGCCTAGTTGTACTTGCTGTGTTTTCATGTTCTATGTGATTTTGGGAGATGGTTTTAACCTTGCCTTCCTGCACCACTATCTTTTTTTCCCTACTTTACCCAAAAGGATTATTAAGAATTCCTTGTCATTTCATGGATCTCCATTTCTTTAGGATCAGTCAATGGAGTTTGTTTCCTTTGGTGGTATCATGTTTCCTTGATTATTCATGTCATTGTGACCTTTTGTTGGTGTCTGCCCATTTGAAGAAGTGGGCACCTCTTCTAATCTTTATAGACTGGCTTCAGCAAAGCCCTTCGCCAGTTAGCCCAACCAAAGATTCCATGGAGGCTGTCTGGTGGTGTCTGTGGGTAGGTTTGCTGTTGGAGTCCTTGAGTGGGCAGGTCTGATGCCCGCATCAGCAGGTGAAGAGCTTAGAGCTGGGTTCAGGTGGGATGGGCCTAAGACTTGAGTCCATGTTGATGGGCTTGGGACCTGGGTCTGTGTGGGCATATCTGGATCCTGGGTCCACAGGAGTCAGCCAAGCACTGGGGACCAGTGGGATAGGCCCAGATTCTTGGTCCCTGGGGGCCAGTCTAGTACTGGGATGGTTCAGGAGTCTGATTCCATATAGCTGGCCTGGAGGTTAGGTTCATGGGGTCCACCTCTAAACCTGGGTCTTCAGGAGCTAGTCTGGGGTAGGGGCTGGCCTCATGCTGGGATGGGATGAAAGCCTGGGTTTGTAGTAGTTGGCCTGATGTTGAGCCAAGTAGGGAGACTGGATTTGTGGGAGCTATTTTGGATCCTGGGGTCACAGAAAACACCCAGGGCCTTGGAAGCAGGCTGGTGCTGGAATGTGCCCAGATTCTGGGTTCATGGGAACTCTCTTGGAGCTTGGTGCCATGGGAAATGGCTTGTACTAGGGTGCACTGGGAGCCAGGTTTGTGGGAGCTCCCTGGGAACCAGGTTTCACAGAAGTTGTCTGGGGCTGCTGAAGCCATCAGACATCTGGGTGGGTCTAAGGTCTAAGTTTGTGGGACTTCAGTGCGAGCCACCTAGTATCACAGGAATTGGCCTGTTGTTGGGGTTAGCTGGTGCTGGGTTTCCCAGTGAAGCTGGGTGTTCCCTTCATTCTCCTTCTTCTATGGGGAGGGTGTCTTTCTCGATGCTGGGCTGCTTGGGCTTGGGGGAAGAGTCACTGGGTCATCTGAATCTATCTTTCCTTGCCTCCTCAATGTGTCTTTTATTATTTCTTTGCATCACTCAGGTGCTCTAAACCCTCACCTGGAATCCTTAACTTTTGTGAAGTTATTTTCATGTGCAGAGAATTGTTCAAATTGTTGTTTGTGGGAGAGGATGAGCACTAGAAATTCCTATACTGTCATTTTCCTGACATCACTGTCTCTCCAGAAGTCAATTTCAAAGGTTTTCACAGAATCATGGAGTTGAAAAAGCAACCTCTCCCTAGTGCAAAAATTTGCTCTACATCAATAGATGGACATCCCTTTTTAGCTTTAGGTAGCTAAAAATATGTCAGTGGAATATTATTTTCTGAACTGGAGTTAAGTTGAAATTTATTTATAGTGACATACTTTTTGGTTAGGGGTGAGATTTATAAAATTCCCAGTCAAGCTATTAAAATATGTTAATATGTTCATCCAATTTTGATCATTTTTTTGCCTCAACACAGTTTATTATTTTCACCTAATTAAGAAAATAACATGAATATGGACATAAATATACGATTTAAATAAGATAAGTAGCCACTCATCTTGTCTTCTGAATAGGATGGTTGGAATCTATTATTAAAATAATGGAACTTTATTTAGGAATAATTAACTATTTTAAATCAAACCTCTCTTTAGAATTAATTTTGCTTCATGATGAACTAATAGCCACAATCATTTAAAGTACTCAAAGCCATTTTCTAAATATAATACATTGAAATATGCTTGTGGTAGGTGTTTATTGGGGTGATTAAGGCTTTTCTAGTAAAAAAAAATTTTTTTCTATACCCCAGCTGTTGGGTTTTCTTCCCACAGGTGTCCTGAAAATATGCTTTTTTTATGGTGCCTTTTTTTATTGAAGTATAGTTGATATACAATACTATATTGGTTTCAAGTATATAACAGTGATTCAACAGTTATCTACATTATTAAACCCTCACCCCAACTAGTGTAATTACATATCTGTCAACATAGAAATTATGTTACAGAACTATTGACCATATTCTCTATGCTGTACTTTCATCCCTATGACTACTTTATATTATGATTGAAGTTTGTGGTAAAATATACATAAGATAAAATTTACTGTTTTAACCATTTTTAAGTGTAGAGTTCAGTGCCATTAGTTACATTCACATTGTTGTGGAACCATCAACACCATCCATCTCCAGAACTTTTTCTTCTTCTAAAACCAAAACTAATAAATATAGGTAATAAATTTCTATTTCCCACCCCTACCTACCCCCACCCAGCCTCTGGAAACCACCATTTAATTTCTTCTCTATGAGTTTGATTATTCTAGGTACCTCATATAAGTGAAATCATATAGTATTTGTCTGACTGGCTTAATTTAAAATGTGCTTCTTAACTCCTCCTTCCAAACTCACTAACCTTGGTACAGAGTGTCAGGGACTGCTGCTTTCCAGTGAACTCAGGCTCTGGTGAAAATGCATGTATACCTAATGCATGGTAAGCTCACTGCTGGTTAGAGAACAACAGTGCATTTCTTAACCTCTGGCAAAAAAGTAATTTCATTGTCCTTGCAAGAAGATTCACAGAATTCCCATCCAGGTGATTTATATAAAAATAAAAGTTCCCTCCAGCTACCTAACCTAGATTTTAAGTTTTATAAAATTAGTTGCTTGGAAGTAAAATGCTGAATAAACACATTCTAGGGTGTGGTAGTGTAGTTACCCTGTTTCTTTTCATGGGTATATCCATCCCTCAAAAGATTCAGGAGAAAATTTTGATTGGTTTCTGCAAATCATAGCCATCCCATTCCCCTGCCAATGATTGGTTTGGAGGGAGGTGTGAGCCCCAGTTCTGGCAAGTGACTGAAAGGAGGTCAATGAAAAGGCTTCTAAGATAGGGTGTCTTGCTATTAAAAAAGATTCACCTGGGAAGTGTCAGTCCTCTTCCTTTTGCTGGACATTTTCACACGGGCATGTGATGCCTGCTGTCCTGTATCTGTGAGGAATGCTAGGCTGAGATACAATTCCACCATGCTGAGAATGACAGAACAGAAAGAGAGAGACTTGAGGACTTAAGGTTTTAGTGAGTCATGGGATTAACTAAGCTTGAAACAACCCCATGTCAGGACTGAAGGTAATGTGAGATAACAATATTTTTTTATCACTTAAGACAGTTGAGATGGAGTTGTCACTTACTTGGAGGTGCTCAACTGATAAAGGCAGATTGCAAGATGCCACAGGGTGGTTTCCCTTGGAAGCAGATTCAGAGAGGCAGTTTACTTCACAGGAGGTTTCTTAAGCAGTGTCTTGTGGAGGGGAGTTAACAGAAGCAGAACTGAGCAGAGGAAGTGAAGCTGTGACATAGGCAATGATAGCCAAGAGAGGCCTCATAGCAAGGTACTAATTGTGCTTAGATAGCCAGGCCTTTATACTCCACTCTCCATTAGCCATTGAAATGCATTCCCCTCAGAAGGCCATGACCTGGGGCCTAGTGGCTTTCAGCAGCTAAGGCAATCCCTGAGGGGGCAATTGAAAGCTGTCTGCAGGTGGCACTCTCAGCCTCTGGGGCAGGAAGTTCTTCATCCATTGAAGTGTATTACAATGTATTAGAATGTAGTTGGTATACTTTTCATAAGAGATCTGCTTTAACTCCCAGTATTTTAATGTTAGCTGGACAACTGAGGCATATTTGAGGGGGCTGATAGAGGTACATTTAAAATAGGCTAATATAATGTACAGTTGCCTGACTAGTTGTGAGGATCTTCTGGATAGAAGCATGAGAGTGCCCACCACACGTGCTTATTAGGACCACTCAAAGAACACACACCTGTCCCAGGCCCAGAGAAAACATATGTCCCTAAGACTCCCTGGACCTGCCCAACTTCTGGTAGGCTTTGGCTTATGCTAGGGATAGCAGTCATGTATATTTGCTATCTTTGCCTCCATTTAACTTCATTTTGCTTGATTTCCAAAGGCTAATAATTGAATTGCCCATAAATGTCTGTACATTGTAACTAAGCTATCATTCATTTGTGTTTCATATGACCAAATCAGTTTCCTGTTTACTGAATGACCAGCTCATCTGCTTGACTTCCATGTCAGCCAGTCCCCCTCTTGAAACTCCTCTCTTGGCTTGCTGCACACCTCTGACCCTTCTGTCTTCTGTCCCTATGTCATCTCTTTCTCCTCTTGATCTCTAGTCACAGATGCAATCTGAGGCACTATCCTTGGCATTGACTTGATTCTTTCATCAATATTTCCCTTATTGAGCATGCCCTGCCCATGGCTCTCAATTTCCTCCAAGCCTACCGAATTCTCAGATGATTTCCAACCCTGGCCTTTAAACCAAACATCAACCCTTAATCTTCAAGGACCTCCTAGATGTCTTTGCAGGTCCTAATCACTTCCAAATTAATATGGTCTAGAAATAACTCACTGTCATTCACTGTAAAATAAACCCATCTTCCTAACCTCCTAGTTCTCTTGATTTTTATCATTTCTCAGTCAACCTCATTCAAAATCCTTTTTGCAAACTACTCACTTTATGTAATCGGTCATTTAAATTTCCCCAGGCTGTTTAATATTCTTCAGCACTGTTGTATTCACATTTGGAGGCTGGATGTGAGAGACAGGGGAGATGAATTCATTTACCTGATTTGACTAATTAAAATCTCTTTACCCTTTAAAATCTCTTTACTTCTGGTTTTTGCTCTCTTTTTCCAAGCACTTGCATTTATTTCGATAATATTCTAAATATACCTCTGTGATAATACTACATTCTAATTACTGTATTTATTTTTTTACTTTTTTCCCTACTAGACTGAAAGTTCTTTGAAAGCAGGAACAATATCATTCTTCTTTGGATTCCTAGTGTTTAGAACATGCTTACCATATACTAGGTATTCAATAAGTATTTTTGGAACAAATGAACAACTTATCCTAGTCCAAGATTTCATCACTTCTGCACTGCATCAGTGGCCTCCTTTTAGTCTCTGTAGATGTTTTGGGCATCTTGCATCACATCCTCTCCATCCTCCTCTTACTTCAGCTGCAACTGTGCTGGATAGTTAGTGTAGGATCAGACTACTGCCAACACATCTCACTCCGAGTGCTCTGAGCTGTTCCAAGCTTTACTGCCTCTGACTTCCTCTGAAGCTTTTGGAAACTGCTCATCCCAAAGTAATATGCAGCCCAGATGTGTAAGGGTGGAAAAAACTTCTTCTTCTACCCTCTTAATTCAGTGCCCAGGGCCCTGCAAATTAAATTGACAAAGGCAGATTGATAGGAGAAAAGACACACAAGTTTTATTCGATGTTAATAATTTTACATGGTATGGTGGTCTCACAGAGAATGAAGTCAGACCTGCAGGCTTATGTACCATTTTAACAAAGGGCAATATATTTGTGGAGAAGTAACAAGACAAAAGAAAAGATTTTGAGTTTCTAGGGGCAATAAATTGTGGGAAGGTAAATACATGGTGAAAATGAATGGAAGATAAGGGTTATTTAGTAAGGTTTATTATGCAGATTCCTCTTGATGTTGTTTTTGGAGTAAGAGTCTAGTCATCTCCAGTGATTAAGTGTAGTTCTGTCCCTCCTATTATGAAAGAGGGGAGGGAGAACACCTTCACAGAAGGAAATTTATGCCATGCTTTTAGACAAATAGGGGGAGGGTAGAGGGCTTTTTTCTGTATCTGCTGTTTTTCAATGACCTTCAGCTCAAAATAATTATGCCAAAGTGGAATATTTTGGGGTGGAATATTTTGATACCCTTTACCCCTGTGGGTAAAATTGTAGCATTTCCAGAATCTCTCACCTGGCTTTAGTGCATCTCCATATCAACAGGCATTCCTAAGGGGTGGAGAAAGGTAGTTCATCTCCATATCAATGGGTAATTACCTGGGCAAAGGAGGGCTTCTCTGAACCTGAGAGATTGGTGGGGGTTGCTTGCTTCTGCTGGAGCAGGAAAGAGATGGCCCCTGGACTGCAGTTTGGAAGCAATAAACTGGTTTTAAACTTTATTTCTCCCTTTGACTGATTTCAGTTTTAGAGTGATTTCCTCCCCCTAGAGTTATATCTGGCAGTAGTCAGAAGGACCTCTGACCCAAAATCTGTCTAAATGGGTGCAACCTTTGGGAGGGCTTCCCCTAGAGATAGTGGGGAGATGCCTGGAACCCCCTGCTGTGGATAGTTGGGAGGCCCCAGTGGATGCAGTGGCAGAGGGTAGAATTTCACCTGTTATCGTCCTCCTATCTGTGGGGCTTCCAGTTGGGGAGCTCCTAGTGGGGAATTGGTCTAGAGTAAAGCACCTCCTAGAGCCGTGGGGCATTCCCCAGAACTGGGGAAGGGTGGAGACATCGGAAGCTGCAGAATTAGCCCTCTGTGAGTTAGAAGACTGCTTAGAGGCCCTGAGTGGCCATGTAGCAGCTGGCTTTATAGGGTCTCTTTTTCTTGAGAGAGTAGAAAATGTTATTGAGGAGAAAAAGAGGGTTATTGAGGAGAGAGAGGGACTTTGGCAGGAGAGAGACACACTTCGGCATCACTTGGAGAAGCTGGGCGATGACCTATGGGATGCCCTTAAGGAAGAGAGACAGTTATTGAGAAAACAGATCACACACTCCGGGAAGATTCCTTAGCAGCAGCTAGTGGGAAGGTGGCAGGAAAAGCTGCGTTGCAGGAGGCTGTAGGGGAAGGGGAGGAAAGAGTGGTGCCTTCAGCCCCAGAGATGGTGGAGAAGCCATGGGGAGAAGATGAGGAGGCAGGGCCATGGGCCTATCTGCTGCCAAGGCCACCATCCGAGGCACCAGCCTCTTGTGTGTTAAAGGCCCATTCAGCTGTAATTAAGAAAATAAAAATGAAACAACCACGGGCTCTTCAGGGGGAGGAGCAGCCCCCTCCCCAGGTTGTGGAGCACTCCATGCTCCACCCCTGTACCCAGGATGATCTGGTGGACATGAGGGTCCGATATAGGCAGAGGCCATCGGAATCTCTGCCTGCATGGCTTTTACATCTCTGGGATATGAGGGTGGAGGACGTTGTTATGTTGGGTACTGAGATGAGTAGACTCGCTCCCCTGATGACTCACCCTTCCCTCCAGCAGTAGTTGCAAAGTGCCTATTACACCTCAGGGAATCAGACATTTCTGGAATTGCCGACTACTGCCATCAGGGCAGTTTGGCCTAATCAAGGTGATTTGCGTAGTTACCCACTAGATGGGAAACATATGTAGAGCTCCAACAGGTATTGCAGGAATTGGATATGAAAAATATCTTCTATAATATGGACCCCTAGGGCCTTGATGAGGAGGTGTTCACCATAAGAATGAGAAATCTGGTGCTGCATAGAGCTCCCATATCTCTCTTTGGGTCCCTAGTGAACACTCTTGCCCCCCACATAGGGAAACCCATAAGTGAGGCTACTCGTACTTTAGCAGATCTGGGGGAGATTGAAACAATAAGGGCACGGAAGGAAGTACGGGCTACGACTGATTGGAGAGGTGCAAAGGGTCCCTTGAAGGTCTTGAGGACCTAGATGCAGGTTGATTAGATAAAGGCCGGGGTAGTGAAAGAAAAACTTGATGCGCAGCCCAATAGAATCTTGTTAGAACTGTGGCACCAATTAAAGCCAGAGCAGCACTTCCAGCCACTGAGGTCCAAGACACGGAAACCAGGGTCAAGGCCTCATGCCCGGCCTGTGTTCCTGCAAATCTTCATGGGAGACAGTACTCAGGATTCACCCGAGCCCTCACCCCCACAGGAAGACGATAGGGCATCACGGTTGACTGAGGGTGGGTGTCAAGGTCCCCACCTTGGGGGACGTGGGGGGGACCAGAGGCCACATGTAGAATTAGCAATTCATTGGTCCCCTGTGAATGTACAACGTGTCCTGGTGCTGGTGGACACAGGAGCTGAGTGTTCTTTAATTCATGGCAACCCTGAGCATTTTCCCGGGACCCCTGCTGTGATAGATGGCTGTGGGGGTAAGGCAATTAGAGTGAAGAAAGCCCAAATCCCACTGGGGATAGGGTGTTTATCC